AAAAAAAAAAAAAAACTTAAAATTTAAAAAGTGGGTAGTACAATTGCATGTGAATACTTCAATTTCCGCCAAAAAATCACCCACCTACTACGCCAATTCCAAGACGAAAAGAGTTAAGTCTGAGAGAGGCGAAAACCCTCTCCACATCGTTCGACCGAATATCAGTCGGAGATTAGGCCCCCACACCGGCAATACTTCCACCTAACGTGTCGCTGCAACTATTCGCACACGAAGACTCAATTTCCCTCAAAATAGTGCCTAACTACTTCAACCATTCAAAGACACAAAAAGAGGTGAAAACCCTTCCCACACCGTCGACCCCAACATCAGTCGAAGGTATCTTCGCCTCACGCTTCACCATATCCGCCCGTTGTTCAATCCAAGGTTTTAGTATAATTTGATCTTTATATGTAACATGCAATGGCAGAAGGTGTTACACTTTCGTCTTGTCCATGTACTTTTTTGAAACATTTTATTTTCAGAAAATTTTATCCAAATCAATTCCCCTTTTTTGTTGTTAGCGAAAATCATTTTATTATTAAAGGAAATTAGAAAATTGTGCAAGATTTTAGTAACTGAAAGAGCTTATATACTCATGTTGAGCCGAATTACATATAGATTATAAGGATTTAGTAGCTTGGGTAAACTGCTGTCATTTGGGATTTGAAAGGATAGAATATTGAGAACATATATAGGAGAAGTAAATAGTGAGTCCTGTATAGATACGAATCATTATGTTTGCATATCTGCAAAAAAAGGTAAATAGTAAAACCTATAAATGTTAGTAGATCTGTACAAAAAAAGTCTGTTTTGATGGTTGTTGGATTTCTGGTAATGTAATCTATATGTAATACTTATATTTTGAATTTTTGGAGATTGAATGAGCCTTGTTCTAAGGTTAGCTATATGATAATTTTTGTTCTTTGTTAAAATCATTGTGACATTTTCTTCATTATGAATTCCAATGCTACTTACCACCTCTGCACAGATGAATGGATTATGTCTTGCATAATTCAAAGAAATCCACGGTTTTGCCACTATTAGAACATATTGGAGGAGTTGGCCTGAGCCTTGAGGTGTTGATAAATTTTTTGACTTCTTTAGATGTTGTAAAGGAGAAAGTTCAACATTAAATGAAATGGCAAAAGACAATTCATGCAAAAAGGGTGCAAGTATAATTTGCTCTACAAAATCTTGTTTCTGCGGTAAGGCATGCAAAAATCGTGATGCTACTTATCCAGTTAACATAGATGCATTTCCGTTATATCATTGATTAGTACTTTCGTTTGTGTAGTATTGACTATCGGGTTGGAATCCAAATTTACGTCGTGAATTTGCATATATTTGTGTTGAGCTTGCTCTGTTGTTTTTCACATTGTAGAATGGGTGGTAGGCAGTGGCGGATTTAAGGGTTGGGCCGCCTTAGCTGGATTCGCCGGAGAGAATTTTTTTTTTTTATAATAGATAAAAATTTTAGGTTATATGACTGATAATTCATTTCATTTTCAAACTTCTCTCTTGCTTAGTTGGTCAGAGCTTGCATTTTTATATTCCAAGTCTTGGGTTCGATTCCTTCCCGTCCATTTCATTGTGCAAAGTTTTTATTTCTACAATATTTACCAAAATTAATTCCCTAAAGAAAGGATTCGAACCTTTAACTTCTAATTTGGATGATTGGAAAATTAACCATCAAGGCAATGGTTGAATTTTGAATCAAAATTTAATAAAATAATATATGTTAAGATTCTAGGCGAGTCAATGACTATTTTTTATTTTTTTGCTTTTTGTTGTTTCAAATATTTTATACTTTAATAATTTATAAGATATGACTTATAAGTATTGAGCTTTAATTTATATGTTATTTGAGAATTTGTCTACTATGAATTGTGAATTAAAAATTAATTTGAGTATCGTGAAATGTGAATATGTGATTTATGAAAATTGAAAATGAGAAATTGGGGAATTTATAATTTGTGATGAATTGGTGTTGAGAAT